TAATGGACAGGGGGCTGTTTGGCTGTTTACCTCTGTGAGGGGTCTCAGAGCTGTTGCCCAGGGGGTTAGTGTGCCCGGTTTTCCCTGTAATTTCCAGCTACTGGACTGTGACCTGTGTTGTTTCCATCCAGCTGTTGCGTCCCTGTCCCTTTAAGACTTTCAAAAAGCACTCGCTTTTCTTTGTCACAGGGGCATCAGCTTCGGGACCCACTCACTGGTCCTGCTGCCCTGTTTCCCTAGTATCCAGGACCCCACGCATGCACTGTGTCTGCGCTCTGGTGCGGATCACTAGGGCTGGCTGTTTAGCAGTCCTGGGCTCCCTCTTCCTCCCGGCTCCGACTCCTCTCCTCCCGCCGGGAGCTGGGGTGAGGTGTGCTCAGGTCCCGCCGGGCCAGGGCTTGTATCTTACCCCTTTCACCAGGCGCTGGGCTCTCACATGTGTGGATGTAGTCTGGCTGTTGTCCTGTTTCTTCTGGTCTCTCTTTTAAGATTAGTTGTATTTGTTGTATTTTCAAAAATATATATGTTTTTCGGAGGAGATTCCCATTGTCCTACTCACGCCGCCATGTTGGCTCCACCTCTCTCTCGGTGTTCTTTTATCTTCTCCAAAATAAAACTTTTGTTGGTCTGCAGTGTTTTTAAATAATGCATATGACTTCTGGAGAGACAATATATTAAAGAAGGGAAAGTGGCATAGAGCAGAAAGAGGAAAGAATCATCCACTAATTCACTCAGCAGATTTCCACAGGCCCTGTTATGTATCAGACACTTTGCTACATGCCGAGTAGATGAAGGTGAATAAGGCATGCTTCCTGCAGTAGCACATGGTTGGAATTTGATGGAGAGGGAACTGAGAACATGGCGAGAGTTATAGTATGGGCGACTTACAAAGCAATTTCAAAACTATTTAAATTCTCCTAACCATAGCTCTCTGAAGAAATTCAGGAGCATACTACCTCTTTCTAAATGAGGTTTAGAAAGGTTAGCCAACCAATCTAAGAAATCAAACTAATAGACCTGATAAAACTAGAACCCAGTGTTCACCCGTTTACCACACACATATTTCTATGGTCACTGGAAAAGTTTGCTGGGCTCATACCCTTTTTCTGTAATGAATAAACTGCATCAGAAAGATTAAGAAAATGCCCAAATTACCTAGCTGGTTTTTATTTAGGCATTTATACCCTCAGGAATGTGCACATTGCCCTACTCAGCCCTGGACTTCACTGACTCTGCTTTACACAGTGTACCCTCAGGACTTAACCCCCGTGGGAGGTAATGAAGAGGTTTATTCAGGCTGGTAGCTTGTATCAAACTGGTTAGAGAATTGAGAAATCTAGAGTCTAGGCTTAGCTCATTTGTTGTCTTAGCTAGGCCACTTTGGAAAATATGCTTAATATCTCTGGATGGCAGTTTCCTCTTCCAAAAAATGAGGTGTAGACTGTTTGTTCTCTAGGGTTCTTCCCAGGTGGAACACATCATGACCTTATGATCCACAGAGAATTTTAGTTGTTAATGATTGTACAACATAGGTTACTCACATTTTCTGACAGTATACCATAGTAAGAAATATATTTTACATCATTACCCTCTTTATCTATAGATATAAAAATCAAGTAAAAAGGTTTCTCAAAAAAACACCTTGCTATAATTGATGCACTACATTTTTCTGTTACTATATTTCATGTTTTAAATTTCATTTCAACACATTAAACTAACAACTCACTAACCGGTTACAAGTGATAGTTTGATAAACATTACCGAAGCCACTTTGAAATGCAGCAAAAGGATGGAGTAAGCATGAGCAACAGATTAGCTAGAAAACTGTTTCCCATTTAAAGTGAACTTTGACCCTACCTTTATCCAGGAGGAGCCTGAAATTCTGAAGTTTTCATGAAAACACTTTACCAAGGCTAGCAATTTATCATCATTATACTCAAAACAAGTGTGGAAGATAAGAAGCAGATCACACTGCAGGGCTCACAGCCCAGAAGGAGAGTAGGATCATAAAGATGCTAAAAACAATGTAAGTTAAAAGTTAAAGCACCACTTTCATGTAAATCTTAAATTGTTCAAAATAATTGAGGATTGACTTCTAAGATTTTTTAAGTATAGGAACTACCTGGACATGCCATTATCACTATAAACTCAACATAAACATAAAGATGTGTTTCTCCCCTAAAAAAAACTGTTAAACCCAGCCTAATTTATTTATTAATTGTCCCCTCAAGGGGACATCATTATCCATGTAAGGGCCACAAGATAATTCACGAGATGGAAGTAATTAAAAAATATCTTTAAAAATGGGAAATTGAGCTCTCACTGTTATATACCCACTTCATGATGCCCACAGGAAACTGAGCAACCTAAGAAGAAAATCAGGAGAATGAGGAGACTTGAAGTGATATTTTAAAAAATACAGTTGAAAAATGTTGGGTGTGTTGCTCCTGTAGAAGAGTAGAGTAATGAGGGAAATTGGAGTTACATTCATATATTTGAACAACTATGGTGTTGGAAACAGGATTCCTACACATAGTGTTTGTGGACAGTTTTTAAGCCTCACCTTTTCTTCTTCTATTCGCATCTAGATAAACTGATTTAAAAAAAGCTCAAGTCCCCTCCTTTGGCACAAGTGAAATGTTTAACCCACACAAGCCGTGGCCTATGCAGAGGAACCCACCCAACCCCCAACTATCACAGAAACTTCAAGCCAGTTTGCTTTCCCTGTTCTCTCAAGCCACTTTTGGATTTGCTTAAGTGCCACCCTGCCCTCCACAGAAAGCCTGGTTCTATGAGTAAAAAAACTTTTCATATCTGATCCGGGTGTATAAGGCACCATCAATCTCAACATCTAAACCAAATTTTCAATGGGAGGTCCATCCTGTCTCTGAGGTGATGACAGACACAACACTGTAAGTCCAAAAGGGAAACACAGGAGGGATCAAAAAGTAGATGTTACAAAGGAAAAAGGTTCTGCTCAACATATGAAAGACTTTCAACAGAGCTAACCAGTGACGAAGTGGGCTACCCAGGAGTATGAGGTCCCCACAGCCAGGTGGGGTCAAGCAGGGTCTGGGTGATCCTAGGTCAGGAGGCTGAGAGAAGGTCATATCACTACAGGAAAAGTTGGACCAGTTAATCATAAGATATTCTTGAAATATAAATTAAGTGCATAAAATCACCTCCCAGGTAATATGCATCAAAACCCAACATTCATTGACTGACTTATTCCATTTCTAAATTTAAAAGACAGATTAACATAAGACAAAAATAAAAGATTAAATAAACTATAGTATATCAAAAATAATGGAATACTGTACTATTTCATTAATAATGTTCTTTATAAACATTTAAAAATTAAACATGAAAACATTTCATATATTAAATTTAAACGTAAGTTTATAAAGCAATATACTCAATATAAGCCTCACGTTACCCCCTCCCCTTCTGCCTGGTTTCCCACCCATTCCTAGGTAATAAGTACCAAAGGTCCAAATGATGTTCACTGACACTTTACTGCCATTTCCAGAAATTTATTCTAAGGAAGAAATCAGAATCATTCAAATCTTTATAATAATTGCATCTTTTATATTAAAAGCAGCAAAAAAGGTGGGGGGAAACAACCTATCTGGACAATAAATTAACATTAGTTAAAAATATGACGGCAACTCACCACTAGAATATAGTATTATTGTTAATAATGTTCTTAGAAAATATTTAGGTTTTGAGGTTTAAAAACTCATGTGTCTTATGCTGCTCTTCTTCCTTCCCTGCAAGTCTCCTGCCCACCCCTTTCTCTCCCACCCCGTCCCAGTCCCACATGTGCAAACACACATATATGCGCTGCGCGGGTCTGTGCTGCTGCGGCCCCTCCCTTCACAGCCACTCCTCCATGAGGGCTGTAATGCAGCCGTCCACAGTGAGGACTTGGCCTGAATTGTACCACTGAACTACCAGGGCTGTTTTTGATTTTGTTTTATTGAGATGTAATTGACAGACAGCACTGTACAAGTTTAAGGTGCAGAGCATAATAACTTGACATACATATATTGCAAAATGTTTGTGACATTTCTCAAAAAATTACTAGAGAAGTTACTTCAGTTTTCAACTTACTGTTGCCCAAACTACTAGCTGATTACCAAAATCCATGTTCTCGTATTTTTTCGTGCACACAGATAGCCACACTTCCTGGTTCCTTAGAGTCAGGTGTGGCCCTGTGATTGCGGGGTGGCCCATGGAATGGGAAAGAAGTTTGTGGGCCACTGCTGTATCCAGCCTGTCAAAAACCCTATTGCTCTTTGCCTTGGTGTTCGCTATTTTCGTTGCTCTGTGGAGATGAATCCTGGGTGACACTGGAAGTCACATGGTAAATTTACCAAAGCTCCTGTCAACCTTGTGCCTGAAAAGGCTGTTGCGCCAGCCACTTCACCCTTAGTTCTGTTATGTGAGCAAAAAGAAAGCTTCTGCTGTACTTGAGCCAACATCTCTCTCTGTAGTCCGTTTGTAACAGCATTTATTCCACCCAAACTATTACCGCGAATTACATAAAGAAATACACACCACTGAGTTGTTTTTTTTAATGCTTCCACCAGACCCGCAGCTCCTCTTGAATTCTGTCTCCTATACTCTTCACCTCCATCCCCGTATTCTGCAAAGCCATGAGGGAGAAATGCCAGGCTTCCTTCCATTTTTCTCCTCTGCTGAAAACAATTCCTATCATCAGAAAAAAACGTGTAAGAATAACCTCCATTGTCATGAATTCTAGGTGAGAGTCTTTTCCTCAGGAAATGATAATGATGCTTAATATGTTGGTGCCAGCCTAAGGGATTCCCACAGAGCCCTGCTTCTCCTGCCTCCTCTCTAACCCCGCCTGGTATCTTACTATCAAGACTCTTGGTTTTACATCTTTCTAACCTTTTTTTCATCCATTAGCTCCTCTAAACCTCAAAATAACTCTGTGAGCCAAGTGTTTTGCTCCCATTTTATAGAGAGGGATGCTGAAGATCACAGAGACAGAATGTGTGCTGTATGATCACTCAGTGACTAAATCAAGGTGAGTCCAAGTCACAGGTCACATTTTCATTGCTGACTTTTGTGCACCATAAGTGCACATGTAGGAGAAACAGCAGAAAGAATCGTTCTCAAGAGAAGGAGGAAGAGCACTTACGCTTTGGCAGGAAGCTCATGAAAATGTATTCCTCAGATACGGAACACAGCCACAGCCCTTCTCATTTTAATATTTCCCTCTATTTGTTAAATCTTTTACTTGAAACGTGCTCTTCCCACCAAGGAAGTTCAATATCAGACTTCCAGAGCCAAGGGAAACTCAGGGGGAAAAACAGTGCTCATAGGAAACTTATCTGGAAAGACCTTAAAGAACAATGTAAAGGAGGAAACGACCCCATGCGGGCCTTATCTTTATTTGCAGGGACCCAGTGACCCACCAGTGGACTCAACAGTTGGAGGCCAGCTCCAACAAGAAATGCAAAATAGTTCAAGTACTTAATTAAAAAAACTCTAATATCAATTCCAATCCATACTTACTATGTGTTTCTCCATGATCCTCTTTTCAGAGCATATCTGTGCTTTATGCTTTATATTCTATTGGATTCAAACATTTTTACACTATTTTAGAAGAATAGAAGATTGAAAGCAAGGTTGGAAATATTCCAAACCTCTGCTGGTTCTATGCATACTGGGTTAGCTTCCTAAAATAGTCTCTTGGCAACCATGACAGACTGGAAAGAAAAACATCTGGTGACTAGGATAATTTAGTCACTTTCCTCTCTTCTCCTTTTCTTTCCCACTATCTGAACTGGCCATAATTTTAAATGAATGTGGCTCAGTCACAGATTCACTGAATGTCAGTTGTCAGATGTTTGCTTCCTCTGCATTTGATGCTTCATAGAAACACTATGTCACCTTCACACCTTAAAACATGAATTAATGATCCTTTATAGAAAAATGCTGGAACTATGATGTTTTCATACAATCCTCTAAAATAACTTAAAATTTCTCAATTCCTTAGCCTTGTTGGAGTCTTTGAAACTTACAAGCCCAGACACATCCCCCCAAACTGGAGCACCCCTGATCCCTGGATGACTGCACCCCAGGAAACTGCCTCCGCCAGGTCAGCCAGGGCTTCCTTCATTGCGTCGTGTCCACACAGCACCACAGCGGGCTCTGTGTCGAAATCCACAGTGAACACAGGGCCATGAACTTCTGCTCGCTGGAAAAGGGACAGGAGGGGCAAGAATAGTAAGGATTTCAAAACTAAAAATGTAGGTAAGTGGGGGAAATATTTTTTAAGTTTACCAAAGAGAACTTTTAATATTCATTCACCCATTATAAAACATTTCAACTTCTAGAACCAGTAATTTAACAAGATATCACATTATTTAAATGGTCATTATCATTATATTATGAATACTATTGCTGTGATTATCACCTTCAATAGCTCTCCTTTATTCAGCTCCTGCTATGTGACAGACTTCAGTCATATTATTTTGAATTTTTTTCTGCCAAAACTATAATTGTACCAAATTTCTCCTTCTTTCCTAATTACTATAAATGATGTGTTTCCCCTCCTATTTAAGGGAAATTTCTCCATCTTACCCCATGTATAGACTAATAACCATTCCTCATTCTCACATCTTGTTAGGGCCAGAGACTGCTAAATTTTGACGATACATAAGGACATGGTAACATAGTCACGATACTGCCCAGCTTCCCACGTGTGTAGCCAGCCATGTGATTAAGTTTTCATGAACCAATGTTACCAGAAATGATGTGTGCGAACCCTGAACTATTGCATAAATGGTAATTGTATACCCTCTATTTTTTCCACCACCCACGGGCTGAAAGGACAGCCTGAAGATGGCTCCACTGTGACCATGCAAATAAGAACAATAGTCTAGGGACACAGGATGGTAGACCGTTAAGACTGAGAAAAGTGGTTCTCTGAATGACTGCATAGAAGAGAGGCAGCCCACCAGCACTCATCTCTCTTATCGTTATGCAAGAGAGAAATAAACTTCTGCCCTCTGTAAACCATTGTATTACGAGGGTCCTTCTGTGATGGCAGCTTATTTGGCATACTAAATGATACAGGACTTATGCTTTCAACTTATCCAGTGTTGGAGTCCTGCTACGTTGCAATTCAGTCTCCATAAAGTAACCAGAGTGATCTTTTCACAAGGCAAATATTAACATGACAGTCCTTTAAGCACATCAATGGGATCACATTGCTCTTATGCTAATGACCAATATTCTTAAAATCATTGTAGACCTGCATGCCCTGGCCCCTGTTTACCTCCCCAATTTCATCTCATATTATGCTTTTACTTAATCTCTGGGCTGTAACCAAATTGGTCCTCTTCCAGAGATTCCAACAGTCCTCCTCCAGATTAAAGGAAAAAAACAAACTTTTTTCTGCATTTTTATCTGGTTAACACATAACCATTCTTTAGATCTCAGCTCTAACTTTCTGACTTCAGAGAGCCCTTTTTTGGCTACTCCTCCCACCCCTAGTCCTCCAAGCGACACGGCCTCTTTCTACTGTGTCCCTGTTACATAGTTTGTAACCATACACTTATTTGCATGTTTATCTCATAATATGTGCCTTCTCCCTAGAGGGTAAGTTCCATAATGCTAGGGTCGTTTTTTTCCCTTCACCGCTGAAAATCCTCAGCATCTAACACAGTGCCTAATACAAAGTAGCCATTCAATATCTTGTTGAATATGTGATATACTCAAGGAAACTATGCAAAATATTATTCATATTTTTTAAATGGAAATTGAAGCTCAGAGACATTTTAAGAACTTGCTCGAGGCTTTGACTTAAGAAGTGGATAAGTTGGGGTACCAGTGCAAATCCAGAGCCCAAAACACAGGAAGAAGGAGCTTCCAGGCTCTGGTAACTAGCTCTCTGCGGGAAAAGAGATTTCAGATAATTCTGTCAAGATATAGGGAACTACTGCTATATAAATAGCTAGGAGCAGAGCAATTATTCACTCATTCATTGAGCAAATATAGAACTGTGAAAGTTCTTGAATTTTTGCTAGTCCCTAACTTTAAATCAATGTGTACTTTTAGATTTTAGTGTTGTGACTCTGTAAAATCAGTAGCAAAACTTTTTAAAATTGAAAGCAGTTTTATTGCCATTATATAGTTCACCAAAGAATAATTACGGAAAAGGTGCCCTGATCACGGTATGGACAGGGAATTCCTACTTCGGCGATTTTAACGATCTCCCACAGATCTCGCCCTTCTGACAGCCTTCCAGCGGGATACCATTTAAAAATCATGTCTGGGCGTCCAATGGACACTTCCATTTAAAACCACTTCCTTAAAGCATGGTGTCTGCGAGCGTATTTTAATTAGATAGAGGGATGTTATATTTACTCACTGCAAACAACTGGAAAAAAAATAAACATACACCTTGGTTATGGATTTCTTGATGTTCTTACTATTTATCTGTAGTATATTTCCAGTGACTGGGAGAGGAGTGGGGCCAGGTGGCAGCTTCCTTTTGGCACAGCTTTGATTCTGTAGAAAAAGGGGAATCACACAAGAAGGTCAAATGACCAGGACTCTGAAAAGACTCATTGATGTGCTTTGCATAAATGCAATTAAAAGCTTGGAACCCAAGGATTCTATAAATACTAAATACTAGCTGATCAGCAAACATGCACTAAGTCTTTGTTTTTGGGAAAATAATGTTTTATCTTCAGTGCATGCTGGACTACTGATAGATAATATTAAAACAGAAACAATCACCTTAGTATTGATAAATATTAAGTTTTCAGTGGAAATGTCAACCAGAAAATAACTCTTACTTCTTCAGAGACAGCCATATTTTATTTATTTATTTATTTATTTTTTTGAGAGGGCATCTCTCATATTTATTGATCAAATGGTTGTTAACAACAATAAAATTCTGTATAGGGGACTCAATGCACAATCATCAATCAACCCCAAGCCTAATTCTCAACAGTCTCCTATCTTCTGAAACATAACGAACAAGTTCTTATATGGTGAACAAGTTCTTACATAGTGAATAAGTTCTTACATGGTGAACAGTGCAAGGGCAGTCATATCACAGGAACTTTTGGTTTTGATCACCTGATAAACAATCAGGTCAGATATGATTACTCGTTTGATTTTTATACTTGATTTATATGTGAATCCCACATTTCTCCCTTGTTTTTTTTTTTTAACTAAAATGCTGAAGTGGTAGGTAGATGCAAGACAAAGGTAGAAAACATAATTTAGTGCTGTAAGAGGGCAAATGTAGATGATCAGGTGTGTGCCTATAGACTAAGTATTAATCCAAGCTAGACAAGGGCAACAAAACATCCACGGATGCAGAAGATTTCTCTCAAAACAGGGGGGGTGAGGTTCTAAGCCTCACCTCTGTTGATCCCCAATTTCTCACCTGATGGCCCCCCTGCGACTGTGCCTGTCTTAGGTTGTTCCTCCCTTGAGGAATCTTACCCGCAGAGACAGCCATATTTTAATAGTGAAATTGAAAGTTATCAGATTTTCAAAGGGCTGGAACTCAAGATCTTGACAAATGAAAGAGGGAAATTCATGCTCTTGACAAGTGAAAAACAAATGTCTCTTGTCAAAATTCATCAGATGAGCAAAAGAAAGAAGCACTCTCTTAGTTCCTTTTCCCAGAAGACCCAGGAAAGGCCAGAATCAGAGACAAAGAAGGCAGCAGGGTGAAAAATAAGAATATAGAGAGTTAGTCTTGTCTTAGAGCAGATCATATATAATCCAAGGCTCCCGACAGAGCCCTTTTCTATAGGTTAGGAGCCCTGACACCACGTATTCCCAGAGGGGAGGCAGGGCGCACAGACACTGGGCGGAGACAGGACTCTACCACGTCAAGGAACAAAATTACTCAAACACAACTGTGGAAAATTCTTTGGCTGCAGATCACGCACCCCTACCCCCTGCACACCCATTTCCTATAAGGGTCCTGTACTGCAGCTACACTGCCTTGCCCTCACTTGGCTGAGGAAATGTGCTCTAGCATTCAATCCTGTAAAAATTTGAAAGGTTCAGAAACTCACACATGAACAAAACTTCAAGACTCAAGATGATATTTGAGGAAATCCAACAATATGACAAATATCAAACTTAAAAATCAGAATACAACCCCCTGAAGACGTTAGAGAAAACAGAAAAAATGTTAAATATAGTATCATCAGATAAATTTAGCCATATAAAAAGAGCATGTTACATGTTTAATTTTAGTAAAAGTAACCATGAGCATTTTAAAAGGGTTAGTATTCTGCAGATGAGTGATTTTCGGGGGGGGGTCTTTTTATTTATTTACTTGTTTGTTTGTTTGTTTGTTTGTTGGTATCATTAATCTACAATTACATGATGAACATTATGATTACTAGGCTCCCCCCTTCACCAAGTCCCCCCCACATACCCCTTCACAGTCACTGTCCATCAGCGTAGTAAGATGCTGTAAAATCACTACTTGTCTTCTCTGTGTTGCACAGCCCTCCCCATGCCCCCCACGCACTATACATGCTAATTGTAATGCCCCTTTTATTTTTCCCCGCCCTTGTCCCTCCCTTCCCACCCATCCTCCCCAGTCCCTTTCCCTTTGGTAACTATTAGTCCATTCTTGGATTCTGTGATTCTGCTGCTGTTTTGTTCCTTCAGTTTTCCTTTGTTCTTATACTCCACATATGAGTGAAGTCATTTGGTACTTGTCCTTCTCTGCTTGGCTTATTTCACTGAGCATAATACCCTCTAGCTCCATCCATGTTGTTGCGAATGGTAGG